TTTTAATAATAATGGTAATTATAATAAAAAAAATATAAAAAGGATCTTACCTTAGAAACATAAATTCTAATCGCAACTTTTGGTATCGGAAACTTATTATCACAATAATAGATTCAGACAAAGAACTTAGCTATTGTTAACATAGAAACTCAAAGTGTGTCATATAAGTATTTCAATTTCAATTTGATACTYTTGATGTCCTTCATACTACGTAAAAAGACATGCAAAACTTATAAAATTCTTTTATGCCTTCTTTGCAAATTTAAAGTAAATAAGAATAAAACTCCAATCTATATATGTAAATGTTGTTAAATTCTACAAAAGTATTGATTTTTATTTTTCCTTTCTCAGCTATTTCGTTCGGATATCAGATATAAAGCAAGATCTGAAGCGTCTTTAGAAAAAAAAGCTGCTCTTGATGACAAATCTTTGTAAAAACCTTCAAGTACTTTCGAAGTTCTACAATATCTGCCACCTGACTATAGGCAATAYAAAACAATTGTTCATATGATAAATGGCAAAAAATGGCATTTTTGGCAGTTATTTTTCACTATAGTAGTTTTCATTGACCAATGAAACCAAGTGTGCTTTTCAAAGTGTATATAATAATGTGTGAAAAACCGCAGAGAGTAATACAATGTAAGTATRAACTGAAGTCTATTTCACAGGCTAATGAAAACCGTTCTATCTTGAAATCTAAGCCGCACTCTTCTTATTTAGTTCTCATATCATTCAATAGATTATTTCTAATAAGGTAGTCACTTAATGAAAGGCGCTAATTCTTTCATCACTAGAGTGATTTTAGTAAAGCGTGAAACATTTGAGCTGATTATCTTTTTGAAATTTCAGGAATTAATTTTYGTTGGTGAAAAAAAATTACCATTACCATTTACCATTTAAGTATTCTTTCATTAAGTGAAACCTGAATGTATATATGAAGATCGATCGTATATGTAGACTAGATGATTTACACAACAGCAYCCCAGAAAAACTTGATATATTCATGAAAGGGCCTTGCTATTTTTCCTGTCATTTTCAATTCAAAATATAGTTCTAATTTCACAAATACTCATTACTTTTTTTATTTTTTAATGGTAGCTCTATTATTCATTCCAAGCGTCATGTTTGCAATATATTTCTAGTTAGTCGCAAGTAGTAGATGTCTTAAATGTCTCTTAAGTGATCGAACGTTCAAATATCATAAAGTGTTCMGCAGGATGAAATGGTACTGTCAATATAATGAATGAATAGTTTATCTGAAAACGGRAGACATTGATAGAGAGAAGTAGGGTGAATGGCTTTTCCTTAGGGACTATTCAAATCACGATTAGCACAGGAAAGAGGAAAGAAAACTACCATTATATATCAGACCAGCGAGGATGTTAGATCAGCTTATCGGCCTTGGGTAAATACGTCAAATCCAATCAATTTGCCGCTATTCAARACCATAAATACATGCATAGCCTCTCTAAAAACTTGCTCCTTGACAAGAAGATATCACGTTTTAAGCAAATCTTATAACAGTAAGTAACAATTCACCGCTTCTTTATATAAACTGCTTGTCTTATCRAGCAGAAAATGTACGTTCACTGCTAAGAACTTTGAAGCATATGCTTGTCGATTGAAGMTTTATTTAGTAGCAAGTAAACGAAAAAACTAACCTTTATAAACAGCTGCCGAAARCKTTTTGTCCGGACGATGAGCAGGAGTTGCCAAAAGGAGAGTTMAATTTAATTTGTTCGAAGTTAATAGTGATTGYAATAAATAGCTTTTTTAAACTAGATTGTGAAAAGTTTGGATTCACACGTGTATAAAGGTGTCGTAAACTTAATGCAAATATATTTCACTAACATAAACTCCTTGTATAAACAGAAAAGACGTGCTCTTAGCAAAAGTTGATGCAAAAGTGATTTTAGCTCTGGGCAAAAGACGGCAAGCGACACATACAAAGACAAAAACTTTAAACTGACAGTATAAACTGAAAGGAACGTTATATCTGACTGCATTAAATATGGAAAATCAAAGCTACGTTAAAGGCAATCATAATGCTACGAATACCACACAATGTTATAGTGCGGACACCATTACAATATTTAGCGCTTGTTTGGTTGCACTGTATTCCATTATATTCTTTGCATCGTTGRTAGGCAATTCTCTAATTGTTGCCACAGTATACAGACATGTCCAAATGCGGTCAGCAGTCAACATTTTCATTGCTAACATGGCAATATCAGACATGCTCCAAACCATTTTTGGAATTCCAAGAGTCATAATTGAAGTGATGTTTGTGCGAGAGCRGTGGTTGYTGGGAGGTTTTCTTGGTAATGTCACCTGTAAACTGGTGTATTTCATCCAAGATACTTCTCTAAGTGTGTCCATGGCTAGCTTGATATGTATAACTATTGAACGGTTCTATGCTGTGGTTTGTCCATTCAAGTATTCCTACATTAAAAAGCACACTAAGGTAGCTATCTGTGGGATATGGTTGACCGGGGCCTCACTTCATGCCATCTACTGGAAGATGTTTGCTCTTGAAACTGAAACCAAGAAATGCATTCAGTCAGAATGGAGCTCTTATCATGCTGCCATGACATATTATWTGGTGGTGTTCGTCGGATTATTCTTTCTTGCTTTGATAACTACCATAGTTCTATATACCATAATAATTGTCACAATCAAACGCAAACCCGTCTCTGGTGAACGTCTTCGRAGATCCAAGGAAGCCCAGGAGCGGAAGCTACTTCGCGTTGCTATGGCAATAACTGTGGTATTCTTTGTATGTTTCTTCCCTCAGACCGTCCTCATCATGACAGCTCCTCTTTACGCAATACCTCATTGTCATGCCGAAGCATTACGAATTGCAACCAAGGTGATGGAACAGATATATTCAGCGRTCAACCCCATATTGTGCATGGCATTTAGTGCCAACTATCGTTCAGGCTTCATGTCTTCCTTGCTGGCGGTGGCAGGGTGTATAACGTCACCATGTAGGAGGGAAACTATAGACCTKGAAGTCCAGAGACAAAAGGAATCCGATTGACAGGTAGCAGCATTGCAATATTGAAAAAAGAAAAAATACAATCAGAGACCTTTTTGACTTGATTAGACCATGTAATAATAATAATAATAAGTTGAAAGTAGATAACTTAATCCCAATAAAAACTAACGAAAAGTGAGTTATCTTAAGGCGGAATTAGACGACACAACTTATGCCTACAGCGATCGCATGGTACCTCCTTATGACATGGATACAACTGTCGTGGGGCTATTAAGCAATTGCTTAAAATCCATGTGACAGTTGTTGCCATGTCGTAAGGACGACTTACGCTGCATGCGGAGAAATGCTGGACATCCGTGAGAAGAATGGGTTGAGACATGTGCGCGCAATGTATCGTGGGCGTTTTCCAAAATTGCGACCAGAAAAGATTATATGAGAATTTACGAGGCAAGCACTCTGAGGCTTTGTTAGAAGTCTAAATGATGTTTCCAAGGCAGATTTTTACTTTTCATCTCAAAAGAAAACATTGATCCTTGAGCGAGGCCGTTATTTTGAAGTGGAAAGGATCGTGACACCCCGTGGACCCGGGTTGCATTCGATGATTGTGAGCAAAAGTTGTGCCAACTAAATCGGCCTTTAGAACTGGTATCAAAGATTGAACGAATACAATGAAAAACAGGGGCAAAAAACAACAACAAAAACAACAAAACAAGCAACACATCAAGCCCTCCCCCTCCCCCTCCCAAAAATCAAACAAACTAACAGACAAAAAAAGGGAACATTACATTTTTCTCTTATTATTTGAGATCAGATTAAAGTTATATATTCAAGGCCAACAAATCAACACACGTTATTTACCTTTTATGTAAAATTTAGAGTAAACGACGTCATTCAATAAGCAAGTYACTAATATTAAAGTAGTTTAACTTGGATTTAGCCAATTTCAAATTTATTGAGCGATTTTCGTAGTCCCCTGGGAGCTATAACGATATATGTTGATAATACGACCCCCTGGGTCCCTTAAGAAGTCGATCTCTAAAATCACGGTTTAACAGTGACCGCGGAGCGGGAATTTGTTTGCGTGGGCTAGCGGCTGCCGAAGGCAGGAGGTACTGGGGTCTCGGGAAAATTTTGAAATCTTAAACTCTCGGAGATGTCATTTCCAGYGTTTGAGGCGTTATCCAAGACATATATTTCTAAACCACACACACGGTAACATAGTCCAGTCAAACTACGGTTTGACCTAGAAAAAAATGCAACAGAAACTCTTTCATCACGAATCTYTAGTAGATGTCATCAGAAACAACATATCAAAAATCATATTTAATCCGAGTGCAGTGGTGCAACACCTTCAAAATTTCCATTTTATGCAGCCTTCTCTCTCCTTTAACATGAAAACGAGGCTAAAACCGCAGGTTGCACTAAAATAGCGCCTTTTGAGCTGATAATTGCGCAAACGTTCTGAATAAACAAATATCAGTCATCAACAATTACCTCCATTAAGGTAGTGTTTGAAGTCARGGGGKTGGATGTCGTTAAAAAATGAATGGRTRATAATTTAGTTTTGTTTCTTTCAAACAATMTCAAAAATACACAATACATATCAATACACMAATGTAGACAYATATCTAAGATCCTTAGATATCCTTAAGGCTAGTGTATGCAGAATTATAGTTCTCCTCTGTAAAGCTGTGCCTTTGCACTGTCCACAAGCTGCGGCGAACACTCTAAGCCATGACGACTGCAAAGAGTCGACAATCAGACTGATAGTTGCATCTATCTGCAACACGGAAGCAGGAACAGGGCGGGTCTYGTCTGTCATCACAGGTATTACCTGATCACCCTCGACAGTCCARCCCCAGTCTTCACAAGACATGTCACTATCGGTCCCCTTCCATTTTTGTATTTGAAGGTTGACACAGAGGCTATAGTAACRTGCTTCAGACGATGTTGGCGGAAAGCTTTTAGGCTGAACTTGAGTTTTTCTGCTGGGTACCTTTTCGCAATATTTCTGATCGATAGCGCAAACGGTCAAGCTTGTCACCACATTTACTACCACAGAGGCAATCGTGTGCGTTCTCCGCAGCGAGTCCAATCTCATCTTTTGTGCTTGTAGCATCTGTGAAGATCCTAGACTGTTGTTGGAAATAAGCGCTGTTGTCAAAATGTTTCAGTAGAGCTGCTTTTCCAATGCCATAGATGAAAGAAGTGGTATCACAGCCAAACAGCGCATGAAGAAATAAGATGYTTTCGCAGAGGTCAGGASCAAGCTGCTGCTTTACTTTCTTGATGTTCCAAAGTCGTCTTATACCAGCGTTGCATTACGTTTTGGCTCTGGCTTGAAGAAAACATCACACCCAAGAARGTCAGCTCGGAAGATCCGTGTCATCACCACGAGGACGGATGTTGTCCTTCGCGCGCATTCATCTGCCGTTTTCACGATGAGGACATCAGCGTCTCCTGAAGCTTGACAAACCAAAAAATTTGCATTCATGCAAGGCTTCACTAAGCATACCGATAAATCGCTGAATGTTCTTAGCGTTTGACAAAAATTATTCTCCTTTCATGGTTTCATGCATCTCCTCTGTGAAGCTCACTGTGAGAAAATMTTTTCTATCGACGCGGCGTTTATGTGTGGTGTATATGGTTGAGGCATCATCGTATCCGTCAAACACAATGGTTGCTGTACCATATTTCCTGCAAATATATGAGCAATAGGCAGCGAGGACATCTTGATAAGAAGATGAAGTATTCGGCCATCAAGAGTACTCACCTATAAGTACTTCACATGGAATTAACTAGAAGGCAGCATGGTTAACACAACTCAGTAGAAACGGTAAAGATAAATTGTTTCGCTGCAATGCAATCCACTACAATCTTGCGTACACGGGCATGCGAGCTTTGCATTTTCACATTTTAGACAGTCAGATAATTCTTATTAATYAGTACAATGTTGGAGATCATTATTTAATTCTGGTCAACTCTCATTGGGATGTAATTACAAACAATAATAGAGATAATGAATATATAAAGGTCTATAAAATTAACGTTTGTCTGTTCTTTCTACTGATAGTCTATGATCTCATTTCACCATAGATAATAATATAAATATTTCAAATTATGTTTTTCTTTTTTATTTGTTTTTTTTCATACATTCTGAAGCTAACAATTTTGACTAAACATTTGTGCTTGCRAAATATATTTTGACTCGAAACTTCTTTCTATCGCGTCAGCCTCGTTTTGATGTTCGACCAAAACGTGGCCGAAAAAAACATCTTAATTTAAGGCACTTGCACCGCTCGTATGAAATATGATTTTTGATATGTTGTTTACGATAAGATTCTGATCTGAAATCCGTTGGAATACCTTCTGTTGCAATTTGTTKAAGGTAGACCCACTTATTTCGGTAGATTGACTGGACTAACACTGACGACATTCAATAAAATCCCAAAGACTTCGCAAAAAAGTTTAAATTGTAATTATTCACGCTCAGTTTTTACACGAAGGCTCTTCACTTTCTTTATTTAAGAAAATTTATGTAGCCCCACAGCCCCCCCCCCCTGCTCCGCGGTACCTGTTTAATTGAATTGATCCAACAATGCGAAAAAATCTCTTGCATATATAATTTCAAGRGTTATRCCATTAATACAAGTGTCCCTTATATAGAGTTGCTTTCCCATGAACTGTACTCAGCTCTAGCCATTCGCGTTAGACACAGTCAGCAATGCAGAGAGTCTTTACATCTCCTTCTTTTACTCGAAAGTCTGACCACTTCACGATGTTTCCTGTCTCGTCCGAATTACAAGATGCCGCCATTGACAAGACCTCCTGTGTTGTCAGTTCTCTGTCCCACATGTTAACATTAGTCAACMTTCCTTGGAAGCTCTGATGAGCTTTATATCCTTTTTTGTATCCATCTTGATCTTGACCCAAAACAAGAGCTCCTTTTCKAACGATATGTCCTATTTTACGCTTTTCTTGAGCTTTAAACATTCCGTCGATGTAAAGTTTAGCATGTCCGTTGGTATTTTCCCATGTCATACACAGATGATGCCACTTTCCATCAAGGATATTATCATTGTTGTCCCTGAATTAATAGAATATTGAATGCTTAAACAAACTATACATACGGCTTTTTCCCGTTCAAAGAGAGCAACCGCTGCTTTCGTTGACATCAGTCTCCTAATGCTCCGAGACGTCCTTACCGAAAACAAAAATCCACGAAAAAAATGTCATTACAATAGTCCCACAAATTTGCTTTATCTCCGATTCGAGGCTAACACCGTATTCACAGAAGCAGCAAACTCTCTGGTGGGATTTCAGGCAACGGCGGCGGATCGTTTTTGGCCCCGGTTAAGAAGATTAATTAATATTGTAACGACGTATGTTTTATTCTGTTCCTCACGCTTGCATATATTTCATGGGCCTAACTCGCCTCCTAAAGCTGGGTGCAATTCACGTTTTCGTACTCCTCGAGCAACTATACTTTTAGCCGGTACCGCGGTCGAACTCTCTCTCACGCACAAAGCGCGACTCCTTAAAAGAGTCTACCAAGGCCCAAGGGACGATAAATAAACAACTTAACATTTCAAAGCTACAAAATAAACCCCTGTCACATAATAGTGTGTTTCATTTTGCAGTAAATACAACTGTTAATTAATTACATTATAGGAAAAAAACAACGAGCTTTTATCATGAAACAATATTAAATTTTCGAAAATACTGGGGAGATACAGCCCACCTAGCCCCCCCGGTTCTGCCTCTCCTGAGGCTACGCCTCAACCCAGAAAGATTCGATTTTCTAGAGATCGGATTGTAGTGACCACACTTGTCGTGCTTTCTTTTGTTCTTTCTTTTTTACAAAGGTGAGTTTGTTGTGCACTTAAAAAACGGTCACTCGTACTGAAGTGAAAAAACTCTTATTGACAAAATTGCTAAATTGTCTGTACTTACAATGGATTTTCAGCGAAGAAATACTTCACTCCGTTCACCAGGATTCGAAGTCGTATTTCGTCATTGGAMTTTCCTGGTATAGCATAGCTAAATGCTGTTGGACGGATGGTTGTGTTATATAGGTCTGGCTGAGCCCACAAGCAAATTGTTAAAGCAGTGAGGTTGTCATTATCTTGGTCGAAAACTGCTTTTTCTTTTGTGCTATTGCCTGGAAATGCCAAGATATCTCGTCTTCCTGAAGCTAAAAAGGAACGATATCATAGATAACTTAACCAGCTATCTGCTTATGAAATTTAGATATAATCTGCGTGTCCGCTCCTCTTGAAGATGCTGCCGTATTTGAAATGGTACTTTTTCAGTCCCTCCCCTWTACCCTAAAGCGTGAAAAACTAATATGTCTCATTTTAACTCTAATAAAAGAAAAAAAAARTCATATTGTCAATCTTACTAGCCGTTAGGATAATCTATCCATTCACTATAAACAGGATCAATTTTAACCCCTTAAACGGACGGCGATAACCCTAATGCTTTTTTCATAATGGAGTCCCTTTGACAAACCTGGACATGATATGCAATTGTAGCTCAGACCATCACCCTCCACAACGCATTGATTTCCTTCATGTATGCAAAGGATGYTACTGCACCAAGTAACTGGGTGCAAAAAATAATTTAAGTATGTTGAACCAGGCTCTACAACCATGCTTTCAGGGTTTGTTAGATGATTTGCGTCGTTCAACTCACATATCTTTCTGTCTGGGTAAAAATTAATACTGTGACAGTCAGGAACCATTGAACACTTATCGATGCACTGGTAGCTTTTCTCTACTGATGATCTTTGTATAAGGCGGYCTCGAAGTCTGATATCTTGTCGTGAATAAGTCACGCCACACTGGTCACCTTGGTAACCATTCCCGTGCAATAATACTACAGACAATATGATCCTGAGCAAAAAGATAAATTGTATTATTCACACAAACACATTAAATTTCCGTACTTTGCAAGGGTTCCACCTCTTGGGAAGAAGTGAGAGCAGAAAGTTGGAGGAGCTCTAGCAAACTGATGATGATGATGATGATGATGATGATTTCTATGAAACCAGAGATTTGCCCAGGCCCATAGGGGAGGTATTAACACTAGAATGCTGTTCCAGTCTGCTGCCAGTCTCAGACCTTGTAGCTCAGCTGCTAGAGCATCGGTAGTTCATATCCGAAGGTCGTGGCTTCGAATCCCAGCGAGGTCGAAAATTAATTTTTCCCGAATTTATTCCTAAGGGTCTTTCTCCCGGAATTGCCTCTTTCATTTCTATTTCGTGTCTATCATAGTGTCATGCGGTCTTCATATTCATTTCGTTAATGTAAGTCAATTGCAATGTCAAAACGTTTGTTTCCTTTTTTCAAGATCACAGGCCATCATGTTCAACRCCATTCCGTCATTTCTGATGTAAAAAACAGCGACCAATTTGAAAACGTTGATTTAAAAAAATTATTTTTAGTTAATTGCAAAAATCTGTTATTCTTGCCTCGAAATTCGTTTTTGGACAGCAGAAAGAGCGAATCTAGCATTCTAAAATTATCTTCTGATTTTCAAATAGCACTATCTGATACACCAACTGGCAATTTCACCGAATCAGACATTCTACGAACTGCCCAAGACCGGGTCAACTGGAAACGTCTTGTAGTCGACTGTGCAACAGCCGAATGATGATGATGATGATGATGATCTGTTAATCACAGTGGCTGCTGTTTCGCCTTGGTTATCTTGCAATCTACTGGAGCTGATCGCTCAGCAAATTTATAGTCTATACGAAATAATACAGATAATGGAGCGTCCTAATAGTGTATTACTTACAACTGAAAAGTGAGGTACATCGCGTAGAACTCATRCGAAAATAACGTCCGTAGATAACGTGAAATCGCCTTGTACTTTAGTGTGTACGATGCAGTTTGGCGTGTTTTCTTGTCAAATGACGTCTAGTTTCCGTTCCACTTAAAAAGCTACTGACAATTTTAATTTCAATTTTGATTGTATTGGACACGTTAGCACCTTTCATGTTCGTGCAAATTCAGTACATCCAGTACCTATTTTAAATCAGTTTCTCGTTCAACACGAGAAGACAAAAAATCGTATCTCCAAGCGACCATGTATGATCTTTAAGCGTCGGCAATGAATGCAAATTATGTCGTAAAAACTTTTTTCTTGCTTTTACTATATAATAGAGAAACCACAAATGTGTTCTTTTCACTAGTGACAATATTAATTTTACGAAATGGAGAAATATAGGTATTTCATAGAAAATTATGTGATAAAGCCTCTGAAAAACGAAAACGAAAACAAAAGAAGAAGAAGAAAAACAACAACCTCAGCAATAAAAAAAGGCCAATGAGTTTTAAGTTTCCTCTAAAAACCTTTTTGCACTTGTTTCTTTTCAAAGTTAATATTAACAATGTTTGTGCATTTTTAAGTTATTTGGCCCGAGGTTTTCTTCTTGCTCTTCACATGTTACATTTAATGGCTGGATTGCACCGTGGTTAACAAAGAAAGCCGGAAACACTCTCCTTCAACATCCTYGGTAGAAGTGAATGACAAGCCTTGTATTAAATCGATGTTTCGTCCAATGGAGTTGTGTAAACATTTCTATCACTACTAGTGCACCTGTTATTTCCTACCTCATGTTAGCGACAAATAAAAAAATCATTGTTAGCAATCGCACTTTATCCAAGGGCGCTAGAACTGAAATTATGACCTATAAGATCCAAAAATTGCTTAATTTATCCAACATACTAGTAAGATAATCGATAATAAATTGTAAAGTTTTACTTATCTGAAATATACACTGAAATGTCCTTGCTTTATCTACACTATCTCGACGAAAAAATCCTGAATATAAGTAATGTATACAGAACGAGAGAGCGTGTTGTATCGGGTGATAAAGAACTAATGTTTTATTAATTAGGTCTGTATGGAAAACGTTGAAAAATAATCAGCCTCGCACTCCCCTGAAAATATTCAAAGCCGCCCCCAACTTTGGGGTTGCTGCACCTTTAATCCAATATAAAACATGAAA